GGAATGCTCACGTCTATAATTCACTCGCCAACTTGGTGAGATGAGATTTTATTTCCAATGCTTATTTCAGCAGTGCTGGGTGCCCACGTTGTGAGCATACCATCGAAGGAATTCTGGTATTTCAGCAGTGCTGGGTGCCCACTCAGTGAGCATACCATCGAAGGAATTCTGGACGCTCTCGATTGACCGCGGCCATTCCATTCAGTGAGCATACCATTGAAGGAATTCTGGACGCTCGATTGGCCGTGGCCATATTCAGTCCTTGCAACCAGACCTGACCTGACCTGAACTGAACTGAACTGAAAGGTGGCGGGCTTTTTGGATTTTACCGCAACCATGAGATTAGTTCTTGTTTTAACATTAGGCGTTCAAAATGCCGTCAAAATTTGCAGCTGGTCTGAATACCGTTTTTATTTTGCAGGATTTCTGCTTTTAATTTCGTATTTCGTTTCCCGGAATGCGTTAAATTTATTCGTAAATCCCACTCTAATGCCTGAGGTGTTTTTTTATATTGAATCGTATTGTTTTGTGTACATTCTGAATTCAGGGTTTCTCAATAGTGCATTTGGATCATTTATTCAATAAATTTCACAGCTGAATGGTTCTGTGATGGCTGTTTGTTCCATACGGAATTGCGTAGTTTTAGCAATTGTTCGTACTTGATATTTCTTCACATGTATCCTGCTGTTAGCTGATATATACATCCTTTTCCCGAACAAACCAAATAGAGGCGTACAAGCCAAACGCATACCTTTCTGGTTGCAGTCTACCTCGGCTCAATTCTGTACCTCAAACGTCTGACGCCGTGCAAAGGGTGTATGTTCTGGTTAAGTAGACACCGGCCTCCAATGGATTACCGTTTTCACACACAGTTCCGCCGCCTTGCGGGTCAGACTTTGGCCTGCCAAAAGCTCCGGCTGTGAGCTCCCCAAGAAAACTCATTCACCTTTGCCTCGGCAACCTTTTGGTGACTAGGCGGTCGCTGATGTTCGTCAGAATCTGTCACTAATGTTTGCTCACGTTCGTTCTGGATATCCGTCCCAAGAAGAAACAGAACCAAGGATTGAGTTTGTAGAGTACAATATATTCTGAAACTTCCGAAAAGTTGGAAGCAAGTTTAGCTAGGCCTAAGCTGTTATTTAAGCAACGGCAGTAGAAACCTGAAAGTAGATCTGATCAGTGCAAGAGAAGCGTGCAATACAGAGCTCACCGGGGTAATTGTGTCGGTGTGGTCTTTTCAAGCTCATTAAAGGTACGATAATAGTTAGATCAAAACGTAATTCTGGAAGTGTCCAAGTTGCTATATCTAGTTTTGGAGATAGGGGATGCGATTTCACGACCTGCGACAGCGCTCCAATCTCTCTTTCTCCCGTGTTTCGCGATCACCCCGTATTGATCAGGAAGAATAGCCGGTTAGTCGAGGGAAAGTGTATTGTTCCCCGAGAGCACCGGAGTTTAGCCTGACTACGTTCGAGTGTCTGAAAGCGAAAGTGCTTAACAAGTGAAGGTGTAGCACTGAACTCACGAACCGTTTAAATTGAAGTTACTTCACCGGAGGTGGCAGTGACTTAAACAAAGATAAAAAAACCTAGCTGAAGAAGCGGTCTCAGGATATCGAAGATCCTGGCGGAATCTATGCTACGAAGGAGAAGGATGCACAAGCGAATGCTCCAGGCAACCAAGGCCTGCGACCATGCGAAAGGATACATGCAGAACAGGTAGACAAAAGGTGATGACAACTCTCGAGCATGTTACACTGTCTGTCTCAAGCAACTACATAGTGAATAGACGTTCTCTAGAATATGGATATCGCCAAATAATGGTCATACATGCTAAATCTCGACGGTACACTTGATTGTGCCCGATAGAAAAGATAGGTCTTTATGTTAGAAGGAAAAGATTAACGGTAGTCTAACTTTTGTAATTAATCTACCTGATCGATAGGCGAAGTCAGTACTTGATGTCTGAACCTTAATGGTTCTGATAAGTATGTCATGGTTATGTAACCATGTCCTGATGGTCTTCAATTATACAGAACTGGTTGAAGCTGAAACTGTCTTGATGCTAGTCACCAGCGTGGGTTAAAGGTGCTACTGGTCCGTGATTTGATGAGCACGTCCAGCTTGAATGGATCTAACAAGAGACTTAGTGAAAAA